AAAAAAAATTTATTATGATGTAAATATAAATATATGCAGATCATGTATTAATATAGAATTTCTAAATTAAGTTACAAGTCTAGATTAACCAGTCTGAACCCTGGGGGTCTAGGATAAGCAACTTGAACCCCCCGGTCTAGGTTAAGTTTTCTCTAAAATAAAACAATATTTTTCATTAAGACGTCTTAAAATATACCCGGGTTCAGGATCTTATCCTAGACCGCAACTGTACATATCACGTGATAAAGTACTTTAAAAAAATTTATTATACATTGGGTTTAGGATAATAACCTAAACCCGGAGTCTAGGATAAATTTGCCCATTAAAGTAAATCCACGTGATTTGATATTCACGTGATACTGCATAATGACAAATTATCTCAATAATCTATAATCTAATATCTTTCTATCTTGTCATTTTGCCATACTCAACTTCTAAACTTTTTGTGGCTCAACTTATTCATTCATCACTCGTGTCTGTCATTAGTATTGACACAGGATTTGTAGGCATAGTATTCGTCAAATTTTGATTACTGTTGGTATTATTTTGAACTTGGTTGGTTTATTATGGCAATTTCTCTTTATATAACCATCATCTTAATTCCCATTCTCTCAACAGTTTCATTTTTATAAATTTATATACGTTATCATTGTAGGACTTCAAATTTTTTTTTGCAAAAGTTTAACTTTTGGTATGCTTCACAAATTTAAAGCTTTTGAACTTAATGCTATTTATTATCTTTAGGATGTCTGAGATTCGCCGAAAACTTGTAATCGTTGGTGACGGTGCTTGTGGAAAGACCTGTCTTTTAATTGTTTTTTCCAAGGGTACCTTTCCAGAAGTATGTGTTTTACAAAGTTTACCTATCTGGAGAAGTGACGGGAATTAACATAATCCAAAAGGAGGAGGGAATTTTATTATAAAGCAATTTTTTAACAAGTTAATTAGTAGTGACTCTGAGAAATTTCCACAATTTGTCTGTAATTATCATAATTTTCACTGGTATCAATATGTAAAGCTTCAAACAATATTGTTTTAATTACAGCTAAAAGACGATGGTTGATTACTTCAATTAAAGTTTTTGGTAGTATAGCAGCAAGAGTACTTTTAGGTGTCATCATCATTAAACTAAATGAAAAATTAAATCTTCTATATTACTTACTATATTTAATATTTCCGAAGCCGACCAAGAGAATCTTTTCATAATTTTAACTTTTATTTTAAATGTCAACAGGTCTACGTTCCTACCGTATTTGAAAATTACGTTGCAGACGTAGAAGTAGATGGAAAACACGTTGAATTGGCTTTATGGGACACAGCTGGTAATATTACATTGGTGGTTTATATCTTCCATCCATTCACGTAATCTTTTAATATATTTATAATTTTTATAATATTTACTGATACGAAATATTCTTAATAGGTCAGGAAGATTATGACCGTCTTCGACCACTTTCTTATCCAGACTCTCATGTAATTTTGATTTGCTTTGCTGTCGATTCTCCTGATTCTTTAGATAATGTACAAGAAAAGGTAAATAAAGATATAAATAATTTGACTCCATTTGCTTTTTTAAGAAACATATTTTGTTTAGATTGTATTGTGAGAATTAAGTGATTTTGATTGGAAATTCTATTACGTTAGAAGTTAGTTTAACTATTTTGAGATTTAAATTTTATCCTCTTTATAATTTATAGTGGATCTCAGAGGTAATGCATTTCTGCCAAGGATTACCTATCATTTTAGTTGGTTGTAAGAAAGACTTGAGGTTCGATTCCAAGACAATCGAAGAGTTACGTAAGACGTCTCAGAGACCCGTGACACCGGAAGAGGTAATTTTTTATCGATAAATATGATTTTTGGATTGTCTTCATGGAATTTTATCTAATCTCGTTATATTTAAAACTAATAACATCAATAAGGGAATGGGCGTTGCAACGAAAATCGGCGCATACAAATATTTGGAATGTTCAGCAAAAACAGGTGAGGGTGTTCGTGAAGTATTCGAACATGCCACACGGGCGGCACTTTTGGCTAAGAGAAAGCCAAAAAAGCACAGTCTATGTACAACTTTGTAGAGTAATTCAAACTAGACCTTTCGACAACTTTAGTAATCCAAACAAACAAGTTTAAAAAAAATAAAACGAGGACAAAAAAAAAAAAAATAATTAATTTAGGAAATTTTAATCCTGTTCTATTTTTATTACCCTCTCTTTTCTCCTTAATATATGTATTTTTTTTTTTTTTATTTCTTTTATTTTATTTTATTTTGAACTAAATTATATGTTCTATATGGTTCTTATTCATTTTTAGTATATTTTGTGAATTGATGATGAAATTAGTACAATATATATATATATATATTTTAACTGTACCTTACAAATCAAATCGTAAGAACATAACTTTTATCAATATTTCGTTCATATATCTCTGTAATTTACCTGTTAAAATTCAAAGATATTCTATTGTTACAATAATTAATTATCGGAAAATTGGTATATGCGTATGTGGCTTAAACCATTCAATTTAATGAGTGTATCGTTACACAATATGATAAATGATAGAAAAATGGGGCGCAGGGAATTTTTTTGTAATAAGATCTTAATTTTAGTCAAAAAAAATTCAGAATCCCATTTTCCTAGCAAACTTCCCATATATATGTTATATATAAATCACTAAATATCATTAGATTGAAATTAATATATTTAGAAAATTATATATTAATAATATCAATTCTATTATTTTCATAGGCAAAGATTTAAGTTTAATAATAAAATTTAATAAAATATATAATAAATATTTCAATTATTATATATTATTGATTTATTTTAATATTTAATTAAATTAATATAGATAAAATTTTAATATATTTAATTTATTATTTATAGTAATTATCACTTTATATAATATTTTAATTTTAAATTGTAAAGGTTTATAAATTATCTACTTATTTATCATAAATTTTCTTTTAATTTACTTTTATAAAAAATTAAAATTTTTTAAAAAAATTTCTTTTAAATTAATTTAATAAATATTAATATATATTATATCATAGTAATTTTTATACTTTAAACTAAAAAAATTTGTAATTTTTAAAAATTTTATCATTGATCTTTGATAATCTTATTAATATTTACTTTTAACAATATTAATTATATTAGAATATTATAAAATTTATTGTGAAAAAATAATTTTAATTATTATAATTTTTATGATTTATTAAAAAATTTTATAACTTTATTAATAATAAAGTGGTTTAATTAATTTGTAAATATATGATTTTAAAGAAATTTCTAAAACTTTTTAATAAATTTATATTTTATATAATTACTAAATTCTTAAAATTTAAATTTAATATTTTATTAAAAAATTTAATATTTTTTAAGTTTGTAAATGAATTTATCTACTAGATAATTTAAAAGATAATTATTAAAATTTTTATGATTTAATTTGATATTTAAATTAAATTTAAATTTAAATTAAAGATTAATTAAATAATTAAATTAATAAATAATATTTTTAATCTTAAATATATTTTTTTTTAAAAATATTATTTTTAAATTTTAATAAGATTATAACTTTTAAATTTCAAAATATAATTAATAAAAATATAAAAATTATTATTTTTATTTAGATAATTTCTATTTATATTATCTTTTTCAGAAAATAATGGATTTTCTTTCATTTATAACTAAGTTTAGATTAGTCTAATTTGGTTTGCTTTAGTCTAAAAAAATTGATCATTTATCTTTTTTTATATTAGATCAGTTTATAAATTAGTCTAAAAAACTAATCTTAAGATTAATATTGTATTATTTGATCTTATCAATTTAGTCTAATTCAAAATTTATTTCTTCTCAAATAAAACTAATTTATAAGATTAGTTTAAGAATTATTTAAAAGATATTAAAAATAATATTTATTTGATATATATATATATATATATAAAATAATTAATTTAATAAATAATTATTAAAAAAAAATATAATAATAATAATAATTACATATAAAATGATTATTGTAATTTCTTAATTTTATTATTTTTCTATATCTGACATTTTTATTTTAGATATTATTATTATAATTAAATATTAAGATACGTTAATAACTGACTTATGAATCAGTCTGTTTTATAAGAAAGAAAAACTGGATTAGTTTAACTAATATTGGCCTTTTGGACTAATGGACTTTTGGACTTTTAAACTATTAGACTATTGGACTTAGTCCATTCTAATTTCATTAAAATTTGAACTATTAGACTATAAACTTCATCTAATAACTATAAATTTATATATAATTTTAGTAATATATTTATAATATTTATTATAATTTATTAAATTTACTTATTATTACTTAATATAAAATTTGATAAATAATTAGATTTTCTTAAACTCTCAATATAAATATTTAGATGTTTCCATTTAGAATTTTGATCTCTAGCAGGAATAAGATAAATTTGAAATATTTGTAATATTAATTTCAAGCTCACTGTTATCTGAAAAATCAAGGTCAATTCAGTAGGATCATTCTAGTTAAACAAATTTATTATTGATTAATCATTCAAGTAGAATGATTTATTATTATTCAAATTTTTAAGTTAGGCTAGCATTATAAATTTAGCTAGAATTATAGATATAAATTATAATTTAACCAAAATTATATAATCATAGTCTATTTAAATTGGAAATAGACTGGACATCTCTATTAAGTCTAAAGTCCATTAGTCCATTATTGGGAATTAGAAAAGGTCTAATTCCAACACTAAATCTAACTCTAATTTTGTAATCTTTTATAAATAAAACAATTTATCTAGTATTTATAAAATTAATCTTAATTTATAATAATATACTATAATTAATAAAAGACCATTTTGGACCAATCCTTAGAATATGAATCAAGATTGTAAGCATTAGTTTTATTAACTAGTTTAAAATTAGCCTTATTAGAACTGATCTATCTCTATTTATAATAAAGTAAGATGATTATTTCTTGAATTTGCTTTATATATTAGAATATTGTGATAAACTCAAATATGATGTTACAGTTCTTCTATTAATTTAAACTTTTATACTAGGCTTTGCTACTTTGACTACAATACATATTTTCTGATTTTTTTTATTACCTTATATCTTATATAAAAAAAATTAACCTTTAGAATAACGAGAATAAACAGCTAAACAAAATAAAACTATTTATCAATTTTATCAATGATATTTTAGTTGCATCTACATGTTAGACAAGTATTAGGCTTATATAATTGAATAATACAATTAAATAATAAGTAAAAAGGTTATAAATTTGTAATATGCTAGATTATTAAAATTATATTATTAATATTCTACTAATACATAAATTATTCTATAAAAAGATTAATTCATTGATCGAAGGAATTTGTTGTTCATTTTTTTTTTTTAAGATGACGCTGTTAGATTTATTTGATTGCTAAATATGTAGTTCATCATGTGCCTTGCATCTTTATTCTGATTGGCTAATTCTAAAGTGAAATATTTTTTTCCCCTCTAAAATTCGTCATATATGTTCCCTAATAAAATTATATAAATTTAATTGTTAAGTTTCTTTGTTTCATTATAATGTTTATATTTGATAATTTTATTTAATAATTTAAACAGCCAGTGATTTCAAAATAATCATTATATTAAAATCTATTTAATAATAAAAATATATAATATTCTAAAAATTTAACCTGTTCAACTTTTGACTAAAAAAAATGGGGTTCTTAATAATCGTAAGATCGTCTATCATAATTTGCCCCGCCAGCCCTTCTAAGCTGCGTGAGAATTTCTTCTTCATCCAATTCGGCTTTATCATGAGCATTAACATCAATAGCACACGCCTATTAAGGCAATTGTACAAATATTGAATTAATAAACGAAATAATTTAAAAAGATCAAAAAACAAACAAAAGAACATTACAAAGTAAAGACTCACCCGAAGAACTTTTTTTACATCACTAACGTGTACGGATAATTTGGCCTTTCTCATAATTTTAACGCCACTACCAACCCAAGTGATAAAAATAAATTTAGTTCGTACAGATAATTCGTCATTTGACACATTAAGTCTTATATAACCAAATGCTGCTTGGTTATCATCTAACTTATCAACAAAATCTTGTAACCCTCCTGTCCCTTTTGATTTTAATGTCAATTTATCTGATCTATCCGAAACATATTGAAGAATTAACCTATATAGAAATAGATGACAAATAAAAAAAAATCAATTAACTTAATAAATCTCTAAAATGAAAGAAAAAAAAAGAAATCAGGTTAGAATTGTTCTTTACCAGCTAGTTTCGTTTTTATCATCTCGTACTTCTTCATATGCGTCGCCTATGATATGATCACATAAATTACATAATCAGATATAAAAATTTATATTATTCGATGTTGTTTTATATTCTATGACAGTACATACAAATTTCTGGGTCGGTGCAATCGGCCATTTTGTTTGAAAATTTTTTTTTTTTTTTAAAAAGATTTTTATTTATTTATAATTTTTTTTTTTTTTTTCTGTCGAATATTTATAACAAGGGGTTTATATACCTTTTTTGTTTTTTCATGTTAAATAAATTTTGTGATTGCATTCGGAAGATTCGGGTACGTGGATCTTTTCCGATTTTAGTTATGAAAGAAGTATAAATCACGCGAACGTAAATCATTCTGCTGAAATCACGGTATTTCGACCCTCAACAGTTTAAATAGGAAATAATGGATTCATGTAAAATTCAAGATGCGGAGAAAAGAAAATAATTTGAAGTCCGGATGGGTGGTACAAGATATTTCGAGCGCAGATTTTAATGCTAACTATATTGTTTAATAATCACAAGTTCCTAGTTTTCAAAGAAAGTTCATACAATATAATGTAATCAAATTAATTATGTAAGCCATTTACCAACCTGTGTATTTATCAAAATGGGGATACTTTTTTATTTAACCCAAGGTAAAATTGTTTTGGTTTTGGCTGGGTCCAAACCCGTATTAAAAAATTAAAATAAAAAGTCGAGAAAAGCGAAGGAATTAACACTTTGATGATGAAGTTGAAAAGAAAAACAGGTAAGATCCATTTGTATTTATATTGATTGCTTCAAGTAAATCAATGCACCACTACGAAAATTGTCAATGTGATCAACGCGACATTTTTCTCAAAAAATACTGGATTCACAAAAAAAAACCAATGTCCACGGAAACATTTCGGTACCAGCCGTGAAGATTTTAAAGCCCTTTTAGCAATCATAATTTCATTACATTTTATCAAAAATTTTGACACTTTCGGATGAATAAAAATTTGACTAGAGCATTTCGTCATGCAACAAGAACCAGGTTTAAAAGGAGCGAATTAAACCACGGTAATAGATAAAATTTTAAGATACCATACCGAATTTCTTTATTCTCTACGAATTTGAATTTTCGCTCATTTTCCCATTTCAACTTTGTAAAAAAGATCAAATTATAAAAAATTGTATAGTACAAGTTCATCTCATCTAATGAAAACTTGTAAGCATCAGTTATTGTTTGGTTTTTTTCTTTTTGTTTTTTTTTTTTAAAAAAAAATTAATAATAATAAAGATACCGTTATTAGAATTTTTCTTAACGAATCAAATTTTTATTAATTGGTCAACATTTAAGATAACAAACAATCATAATTAATATGCACAAATTCAAATAAAATTCAAAAAAGTAATTCCCTCAACAACATTAATAGTCGTTGTTTAAAAAGCGAGAGTTTTAAGACAATGTCCGAACTATTTTCCTATCAAGAAGATTTTTTAATTTACCTTGCATGAAGACCCGCAGGTTTAAATACAATCCTTAATTAATTTGGAAAAATTAAATCAAAGTTTTCTTGATAATGCATAGGATGAAAAAAAAAAACCTTAGATAATGAGATTGCACCGATTGGGACCGATGATCACTCGTCGTACAATTACAAGATCAGGAGACCTAGAAATGAAATGTGCACGAGGTTAAAAATGTAAAATATTTTGTTTATTATTTCCCTTTTATTTTCCCAAATCGGAACGGGTAATGCAAGCTTTGATCGTCTTGCTATTATATATCCCAATCGAATCACGAGAAATGTAAGTCATGTGATCCGTAAATTGATTTTAGGTTCTATACATGAATGTAAATTTTAATATTTAAAAAAATATCACAAGTATAAAGAAGAAATATCGTGTAAACTATTGACTTTTTGACGTTTACAAAAAAGTTTGGTAACTTCCAATAAAATCCTTTTTCAAAGATTTCCCAATTGATGATTCAGCACATGCGTATATCTCTGGCCTGCAGATTGGTGCATGCATGTCAAAAGGGAAAAATGCGCTTATCACTAATCATCCTGATAAACAAGAAAAAAAAAAAATCATAATCGAGACTTAGCATAATTGTTTAAAACCTTTTTTTTTTTTTTAGTTAGATAAGACAATCATTTTAATTCTCATGATAGAAGAAGGTTCGAGTCAATCAAAAAAAAAAAATATTGATTTTGTTGACGGATTTAAAATCTAGTCATACATCTACTTTTCGCCGAAGTTGATAATTTTGTTATGTTCGAGAATTACCAATAGAGAAACCGTGACCCTATTAAGGAAATTATCAATACCCATGTATACGATGTTGATGATTTTGTGCCAGGGTATAATTAATAACTTTCGTATCTAATGGAATACCTATGCGAAGACTCGGAATAAAATTTAACATGTAATAAATAACTGGTGACCAATGATTGATTAATTTTGAAACGATCGAAAATTGCTTGTCCTCAAAGAAATGTTTACTTGTGATGCCATTTCACAAAAAAATACCCGATACGTCAATGATTTCACCGGAAATTCCGTTAATTTTACTTTTTAATCCATTTTAATACAATGGAATAAGAAAATTACTAAGTATTGAGAATTATTTGTTTACAGAAAGTTCATTTTAATTCATATAATAGGTACTTTCTCACATCATGTGCGCCAATCCATCGTCTCGCATCGGCACGAATAATTTTTGGTGAATTTTTTTTTATCTCATCTGTTTACAATCTTTCCCGATAAACTAGTTTTTTGGTAACTCAATACAACCACATTGCATAATTTGGACGATTTGGGTCATTACATATTATATTGATAAACATAAACTCATTTTTTACACTTTTACATGATATATATTTTCCGATTATTTATTACAAATATTTATGATAAAAAAATTTTCTATGAAATGAAATTAATATTTGTTTTCGTTTAACTAAAAGGGTTATACATAAAATTTCGGTATTGTGATAGATAATATCCAGTTTCAGATACTAAGCTTCGTTCTATTTTTGTCTAGAAATGATTTGGTTATTATCATAAAAACTATTCATTGAGAAATGATGATTTATGAAGGCCAAAAAAGGCACATAAATTCATTATTGATTTAAAAAATGAGACATACATATTTCATTAAACAAATTCCGTAGCGAGTCGTAACCGACATTGAATCAATGCGAATCTGTTGTATCACTTGAGAAGATAACATTTTTATTGTAATGCAGGCAAGGTACTTTAACCTTATTAAACAATTCAAGTCGTAAAAGTTTAGATGACTCTGACATAACGCGAAGGTCGTTACGATTTCCTGAGAAAGAATCTTTTTTTAGTAAATATTTATAATTTGGTGTAAAACTGTAAACTTGAATTAATTTTTGTTTGGTCATACGCTACCTTATGAACAAAATACATCATTTATTTGGTGTTTCTGAATTATTAAATTCCGACAATATTGTGTCCTTTTTTAAAATTTATTATCCATTTAAGTATATGTAACGTGGTAACTGCCTTATCATTTCTTGATTATATGATCGACTGAGAGATAGTGACATGGTACAAGCAAGCTAGATACCATTCAAAATTTTTAATTTTGTTTCCCACCCCGAAAATTGAAAATTTACATTCGGCAGAATTTGCAATTCCTTATCAGTAATATATAATATAATAAAAAAAATTATGCATGACTTCCGATTGTTGCTCTTTTGATTAACAAGTGCATTAATTTAACGCATGTAGTTTCTAACATAAAAAAAACTGGAAGGGTTTTATTTGTTGATGACACAACATATTAATCCCTATTAATTTCGATAAATACATTACTCGCAACACGTGGATCAACTAGAGCTTTTTTGACTTTATCATCCTTCATCTCGTATAACATAACTGTAATATTTATAAAAAGAGTCTTGAAACTGGTATTTACCTGTTAATTCTTGAAAAAAATCCTTTCTTTTCATATATATATATATACATTATATAGAGTTAAAATCATTACAATCTTTTTATATAAATTCTCTTCCCACATAGAAAAAATTATAATTATTAAAAAAAAAAAAAAAATTTCAGAACAAGATAGTTCTTTACGTTGATTTCTTTCTTTCTTTTTTTTTTTTTTTTTTCCTCTTTAACTGCATTTCATATTTATTTCTTGCATTTAAAAAAGCTAGATATATAGAATATATAAAGAATTCTTTCCTTCGTTAATTTTTTTCTTTTTTTGAAAAATAAAAAATTAGTGAATGATTGATTAAATTTTTTGATAACTTATCAAAAAGTCTTCTCAATTAGATAGAAAAATCAATTCGTTGTCTAGACATCTACTACATCTACTTCACTTTACCTTATTGACATATTCTTTTTTTTTTTAAAAAAAAAAAAAAAAAAATGACATCACCAACAAATTCAAATCGCCCTGCATACATTAAATCTCATAAAAATGCTTCGTTCTCGTATTTGCCGGAATGTGCTTCCTTTCAGCAAGGAACGCTTGGTGACTCGGACAGTCATTTAGTTGGTAATCTACATCTCAACTATCAAAAAACTCATCAAGTTAAAAGTGTTCTCTTACATTTAAAAGGCGTTGAAAAAACGTCATGGCATAAGGCGCAAGCGAGATCCAAAGCGCTGTACACGGGGGAACAGATCCTTGTCGATCAAACCTATAAAATTTGGGAACAGGAGGATCAGGAGAACTCGATCAATCATCTGGACATTCCCTTTAAAGTAAAATTACCTTATAATCTTCCCGAAACAATCACGACGGAAGTTGGATCGGTAAATTACACTTTACGTGCCGTCATTAATAGAAAGGGGGGATTGGTAACTTCTCCGACTCAAGTGATTGAAGTTAACTGTCCTCTCAAGAGAACCATAAACTTGGAAGGTTCAAACAATGTTCCTTACAAATTACGTGGAGAATCGAGGAGCGGGTTGGATTATACGTTTGTTTTGCCACCAAACAAAAGTTTTAACCTTGGAACTTACGTTTCTATACCGATGAGGATCCGTTTCTTAAGGCCTGGTATAAGCGTTGAACGAGTCGAAATTTCATTGAAAACTTGTATGGATTTTCGATGTAATAATCCGAATGAAACTCGTCATACCAAGGAACATGCGGCCTCCCTTTTGATTCCAAGGCAAGAGATCAAATATTTACAACCCCTTTCGCATCACTACGAAGGTGAATGCGTTCATACCATCAATTTGTTCGTACCTCGTAGTGTGCAACCAACTTATTCCGGTCGTTTCATAAGCATCACTCATCAACTTTGCATCAAATTTTGTTTATGGGGAGCCGATATGGACTTTCAAGTTGAAGAAAGTGTTAGGGTGGCCAACATACATGAAAAATTCACCGTCGAGCCACCATCCATGCCACCACCAAATTCATTGAATAATAATAACAATAATAGCAGCAGCAGCAGTGGCAGCATTCATAATGCTAGAAGCTTGCTTTCACCTCACACTCCAACATTTGATGCGCCCATTGTTGGTCAATATTCACCAAATCCATCGGTTTATGATCCTGATGAGATCAGCATTGAAATAAGGGACATGAAATCAAATAATAATGGATTTGGAATCTCAAGCGGTGGAGATCGATACGCATATCCTGACAAGAATCATCCCGATATGCAATTATACATGTCCCAGCAACAATTACATAACGCGTCAGTGGGGAGGTCACCTTCGATGTCAGATTTTCCACCACCTCCGCCATTTTCTTATCATTCAGAAGGGTATGCAAACAAGTTTTCATTAAATCATGTCAATAAACATCAAGATGATCCAGATGATTCAATAAATAACAATAATATTAATAATAATGAGTATTATTGGCTATACAAACAAAAACAAGTTGAATTGGCTTTATTAAAACAACAACATCTGTATCACCAAAAAATTTATAATAATATTCGACTCAATAATTCACCTTCTCCGACACCTTCTTCATCTTCTTCCACCATTTCTCTATACGTTAGTCCAAACGTGGCGCCAAAATCACCACCTATTCATCCTCCTCCGTCGACACCGATACCACCACCGATCTCTACATCCGAACGATTTGTCGATGGGTTGCCTTCACCCACCTCTCCTCCAAATTCATCAAAATTACCTCCTTATCCAGTAGAAAGGCGACATTCTACTAGTAGTAACAGCAATGAGAAAGCTCCTCCACGACCCATCGCTTCGCCTCCACCATATCGCGGTCACCTTCAAACGAGACCTTATGTTGAAGCTTATACTTATAATTTCGACGACTAGACGCATACTTCCTGATTTTCTTTTCTTGTAAAAAAAAAAAAAAAAAAAAAAAAAATAAATAAATAATTGCCCTAGTTACGTTTAATTTATTTTTGTAAATAGTTTTCATGTTTATTATTTAGTTTATTTATTTTATTGTAGTTTACAAAAAATTTTTTGATTATGTAAATTGTAAACCTTTTATAATTTTTATATTTTAAAAAGAAATCATTTACATTTTCCCATTTGTGTATTTTTTTTCATATTATATATTTATTTATACATATAGCTAGTTTTTTTTTTTTGATCATCATTTATACATAAAAAACCAAAAAAACAAAAAATAAATAACGTGTAATTAATTATCTTGATTTCATAATAAAAACCAAAAATTTTTTATAATTGAATTGTAACCTTTTGTTTCTTTGAAATCATTGTTCAGCAAGTACCCATGGGTTCATTGAGGTCTTTGTATCTTCTTTGACACATACGCTAACACCAGACTATCCGTAAGTCATTAAGTTAAAAGACGTGATCAATCAATCATCTATACTGCGGATTAATGGATTAAATGAATATTCGAGCAAAATTCGACAATGAAAGGCCTTTTATTTGCGTTATTCGTGTCACGAACGTGTTATATTTTAGTTGCTTTGACCATTCATTATAAATAAATACACATTCCTTTCTTTCTCAAACACAAATTACCCAACATTCGATATAGTGGTTGTATTTTTTTTTGTATAATCATTTTTATTTATATCACAAGAACCTTCTTAACTTCATATAAAGGTTCAATGAATTTATAATTGACTTTTTTAAACGTTCATAAAAGGAAATTTACTCATCGAAAGGTTGCTTTTTTTTCATTCAAAATATCAAAATATTCATAATACAAAGTGCCAAAGTTTTCATTTCACATTCAACCTTTCGAATTTGGCAATTGCATGTTTAAATGCATGACCATAAAACATTGACTAAATTGGTCATTCTCTTTAAATTACATGGTCGCACTAAACAAAAAAATTTTTTTTTTCCGTAAAAGAAAAAAATTTTTTGCTGCATAAAAAAAAAAAATTATTTTTTTTTTTTTTTTTATATGGTGTGATTTGTTTTTTGAAGAGTGGAGGGAAATGTTTTGTTCCTTAATTTATTTCGTAAGAAAACATAAAACAACTTTGATAACGTCGTGTAATTGTTTACTCGGACCTTAAATGAATTAAACGTTCGCAAAAAAAAAAAAAAAAAATTGAGTAGCATTTTGCAGCGCAGCAATGTAACATAAGATTTATTTTTTAAAAAAAAAAATGTATGCTGGTTACAACATATTAGATGAAATTAAAAAGTTAAATCATTGTAAACAAAACTTGTTCAAAAAATTTTAATCATTCGGGGATATTCGGGTATTCAAAAACTTAATTTAAATTAGAGTATAGTCCGAATTTAAATGATAAAGTTTCGTACTCGACTCTTTTTGGAATATTGATAAACTTTTCATGTATCATATAAAATGTACAGATATCTACTATCTAATCAATTGTAAAACAAGGTCTCTGCATCTTATCAACAATGATTTATTTGATTTTGAGAAAGAATTTTAGAACGTTTCATGAAAAAAATGAAATTTCCATAACAACAGAAGTAATGCCCAGATAATGTGACGAAATTCCTGGGCGCTAAGGACATTTTCTTGTGCATTCTTTTTTTCATAAGGAGGTAAAGAAAGTGTGACTTTTAAGAGCAAGAAAATTCAAATGATTTTTTTACGAGGATTGAATTACTTGAAGCCTAGCGCTAAAAGATATATTATTCGTCATGTGATTTGTGTTTTTAAAAAATTTTATCATATATTTCTTTACTTTTCTTAAAAAATTTCTTTATTACTACTTTTTATTACCCTTTGCGTCTACTTATATCCAATACCTTTGTTTCCTTTGCAATTTTAAGTTCGATATCAGCTTTTAAAGATGCTTATTCTTACGATTTCGCTCCTTTTCTTGTAATAGTCATGAAACGTCCACTTGATACCGGAGAATGCTTTTGAAGAATGGGTTGAAGCGTTGGAATTGCGTGAGCTAGGATTTAGCGCGAGTTTGGAGTTCGAAGCCCCAGGGTAGAGTTGATTTTTTTTAAACAAAAACCTACCTTTTGAAAGTTACAATGAATTAGAGATGAATTATGTGGGAAGATTAGGTTTATACAGAGGCCTACAGTAATTTACCGGATTTTTTACTATTTATAAAATTTATATACATAATGCGAGTTTTTATCTG